GGACATAATCAAGAAGAAATTTATAATCTTTAAGTTGACTTATTGAAAAGGGAAAAAAATTAATAAGTTGTCCTTTTTTTGTCTTCCCTTACATAAAAAAGATGGTTTAGTAAACTCCAATTTTTTGAGGTAATCGGTTTCAGCATACGTTTTTATTTTGGTTTTATTTTGGTAAATCGGGTTTGCAGTGTGCGTCAAGCTTGTTGCATCATATTCAAAATGACTCAAGGCTGTAATTGCTGTCAAAGGTGGATCAAGTAATTTACCTCTGGGATTATTAAAGTATGTCTGATTCTGATTAAGTAAAGGCTGTCAATATTTACATAAATTTTATTTTCTTCCATTTTTTTTATAAATATGAAACAAATGCAGTGATGTGAATACTTTATACATACATATAATTTTTTACACTTTTTACTTTTATTTTTACTTAAAAAAAATACACAATGTTTCCCCGATTTCACAGTTTTCTTTGTCCCATAAAACCCGATAAAATGCCTTAAAGTGGCAACAAAGCAGTGTTGAAAATTTTGAGAAGCATGAAAACATGATAATGTGCAGCAGTCTTCGGTGCTCAGAGAAAATCTAACAAATTGATCTTTTTTGTTTCTGCCAACATAAAGGAGTTGGATTCAATATCACAGCCGACTACGAAGGATTCAACACCACTTTTTACACCAAAAGAGGCTGCAGTAGCAGTATATGTGAGGCAGTGGAGAAACTTACCAAGCTTATGGTGAGTCTCTGCAAGCATTTCTTTCCCTATCCATTCCTTTTATTAATTTGTATATTTAAATGTTAGTTATGCTGATTTAGAGCAAGGTGGAGGGGTCTTAACGGTCCCATATAATGCAAAATTCATATCATAGAAATTTTGTAACAGTCACATCTGTCCTGAGGTCTAAGAAAACAAAATTAAGACCTCTATCCTCTGAAACAGTTCATTAACGCCTAAATTAACTTAAAATGAGCCAGAGGCTGCTGTTGAATGGGATTCCAAGTGACAGAGCACCGCAGGTGTACGGGGGTCTGAGCAGCTCCGACAGAAATAACATTTGAAGGCAGGATGGTAATCTAGTTGAACTGACTGCACTGATGATGTTTTCAGGTGGACTTTCTCACTTCAAAATAGATTCGAACTACTTTTTACCCACTTATCACAGCAAATATAGCTGC